GCCGGCTTTCCCCGCAGCCCCTCTCAGCATCCCTCCTTGCGCCGGGGGTCTGCGCTTGGGCAGCCGCAGGGTTTTGGGGAACGGGCTTCGGTGAAGCCACCAAGCGGGGTCCCCCGGGCTTATCGCCACTGCCAGCCCCGCTCCCTAAGCACGGCTTTGCAGGGCAGGCTTAGCCCTTCCCTGCCTTCCCGGCTGGCCCGGCAGCGGGCTGCGGGCTGTGACCTGCACCCTCTTCCCCCTTGGTGTTTGCTGGCTGCGAGGCGAGGCGTGCAGGGAGCGAGGCGTGCAGGGAGCGAGGCGTGCAGGGAGCGAGGCGTGCAGGGAGCGTATTTCTGCAGCCGCCTGTCCTAACCCCTTCTCCAGGCGGAGCTGGCAGCCAGGCATGAAACCAGCCCGGTGCTATTGTGCTCCGGCACAGGGCGGCCGGGCAGCGCACCCCGAACCCGAGCGTGAACAGGAAAGACCTTCCCTGCGGCCCTGCGGCACACGGGGTTCAAAACGTTCCGTCTGCACCAGCTCAGGCCGTTTCTACGGGAGAAACCTGTCGCTTGGCAGCAGGATGATGCTCAACGTCACGTCCTCCCTCCCCAGGGTCCGTGCTGTCCCCGGGCCAGGAGCTGCTGGGGGTCTCCTGGGGGTCCACGGGGTGCAAAAGGCACCCGGTCCCCGCTCTCGGTCTCCTCTCTGTCACCTTTGGGCTGGGAGGTGACCCTGGGGCCTGTTCACCTGCCCCAGCTGAGCTTCGTGACCTTCCCCTTCCCACACTGCTTGACCCGAGATAAATGTTTTTAAGGAAAAAAGTTAAATTAGTTTAAGGGAACAGCCCCCCTTTCAGCATTTCTATGCAGCGTGCAAGCTCCTTCACAAATAAGAAAACTTCCCTCTCTTTTTTTCCCCTTCTTCCTGAATTTTTCTCCTCGGAACTTTTGGGAACTTAATTATGGGGAGTTTTTTTGAGTGGCAAAAAGCCAGGGAGGTTGGGAAAGCAGCAGGCTGGAGCGTTACTGTGCTGAACTGCCGGACTGGGGTAAAGCCGACACAATCTGCAGCGCAGTGTGGCAGGAGCGTCCCCTCCCCGAGTGGCTCTGCCGTGCTTGGGGACAACCGCCAGCCGTTTGAGGGGCGTGGATCTGATCTTTGCAGGCGAAGGGGGTGTTCTCCCCACTTTTTGCAGGTGGGAGGGTGCTCCCAGTGCACCCGTTCCTCGGGGCAGGTACGGGTGAGGCGGACGGCAGGGAACCGTCTGGCTGTGCCTCGGAGCAGCAATGTTGTCCCTTGTCCCCATCGCTGCCTGCCTACGGCTCCTGGAAACTCCTCCTCGCGTGGTGGCTCCGTCTCATCCCTCCTGGGGACTTGTTTGCCTGATCCCGGTGCTGGCAAATCCCTTCCAGCTCTGCTCCTTGCCGCGAGGCTCCAGCCCAGGCTCCCATTCCCCGGCATCAGCAGGACGTCGCAGCGGCCCCCAGCAGCTCCATCCTTCACCCTTCCCAGAGGACGAGTGCCATCGCGCTGGCTCTCACCACATCCCCGGAGAGGACGGAGGGGACAGAGCGGGTCCCCTGAGCCCCCCTCCCCGCGGAGGCTCCCTGGGGGGGACGGCAAGCCCCTGGCTGGCTGCCGTGCCTTTTGAGGCTGCGGATGGGCGAGGACTTTCTCCGGAGCCGTAAAGCCTGAAATAACTCCTGTTGTTTTCCTCGGGATCCCAAACAAAAGCGGCGCGCGAGCGCGGAACGGTCGTTGCCGGCCTTGGCTGGCCGCCCGCCGCTGCCGGATTTCTGGAGACAGGCAGGATCTCAGCGCCCGCGTGTCCCGTAAGCAGGAAGATGGAAAAAGGCAACTCCTTAGGAAGCTGTTTGGAGACGGCGGCCACGATGCTGCGACAATTAGGCAGGGGGTGAGAGGGGGGAGGGCATCCTGCGGGTCCAGACCCGGGAGCTGGGGAGCAAGGATGCTTCGGGAAGGGGTTTGGGGGCCAGCCATGAGGTTTTGCCTGTGGTTCAGAGCTGGTCTGGCGATGAGAAAACCCCAGGAGGGAGAAATCGTCCTGAGCGCTCGTCCTTGGGCAGGGTTTTTCTGTCTCCTTTGGTGTCCTTGTGAGCGCAGCCACGGTCCTGGCTCCCTGCCTCCAGGACAGACCTCACTTACGGGGTGACGGCAAAGGCTTTTTGGGGACCACAGCAGCTTTCACTTGCACCCAAGGGGGTGACATCAACCTCCGGGTCCCACGGGAGGTAGCTCCACGCTCCAGCCACAGCCTGGCTCCTGTTTGCAAACATTTGCTCTGCAATTGCCGGCGCGTTTCCTGCTCCGTGGGGCGGTCACGAGGCTCAGGAAAGTTTGCAGAGTGAGTAAGTCACGCTGTCCCAGCCTCAGCGGCAGTGTGGCCAGGTCGGGAGCGTCCCCAGGGACCTGCTGCCTTCACGGAGCTGCTTGTTTTCCATCCACTCCCCGAATCTCTCCTTAAGCCAGTTGCAAACTGCTGGGGACAGGTTGGTGGCTTGAGTTGTCTGAGCTGTCCGGAGGAGGATGGGGAAGCCCTGGGGGTATGGAAAGGGCTGGAGGAAATGAGGGAGCAGCCTGAGCCGGGCAGGGTGTGAGCAGGCAGGGTTTGGGACAGGCAAGCAGGCAGCACAGGGCAGAGCACCCGTCGGTGGGTGTCCGCCTCCATCACCCTGCTGCCTGGGCCAGGAGGTGCCGGGGCTCTTCAGTTGCCCCTCAGCTCTTGGTCAGCGGTTTTGTCCTTGAATTCATTTGCAAAGGAGCCTTCTGCAGCTAATTACTCCTGCCCTTGGCTTCCTTAATTGAGGCTTTCATCTGGCCATCCCTCTTGCTGGCATTGCTCAGACCTTCCCAACCAGCCCGGAGCCAGCAGATCCAAGGAGGATCTGGCCCAGATGACACCGTGTTTCCAGTGCCCATCACCTCCAGAACCAGGCTGGCGTGCTGCAGACCCCTTACCAGCCAGAAATAAACAGGGAGGACCATAAAACCTCCCCTGGAGGTGAAGACACCCCAAGGAAGGATGGCCCTCACCCTGTCTCGAGGTTAATGCTCAAAGTGCATTAACTCCCTCGGCCGGGGCAGCACGTGGGGAACAGGTCTGACGGGTGCTCCCCCGGCCTCCCCCAGCCCGTGGTTCGTGCAGCACACACAGCCGGGATGAAAGGTTGTTTATTCAGGGCCGTGGCCGTGCTGGAGCCCTCATCCCTCTGGGCAGCACCTGGATGGGAGCGCGGCCGCCTTCGCACCGGGATTAGGACTGCAGCTGGGGCGGGCAATGGTTCATCCCTTCGTTGCTCTGCTTTCACCTAGAGCATCCCCTCCCCGAGGGGAAAAACTGGGAGAAAAATAAGCACGAGGATTAAAAAAGCACCTGCTGATGGGGGATATCCAGAGGGATGAGTGGGCATGGAGAAGGCGAGGACTCAAGTGTGGCCCGGCAGGGATTGGCATCGCTCCCGGCGGAGCTGAACCCAAGTCTGGGTTGTGCCGTGGCGGTCGGCAGCCGGCCCGTCCCATCCCGGAGAGCAGGGACCCGCTGTGGGGCCATGGCTCCGACCGGAGACGGTCCCCCGCTATTCCCGACGGTGTGAGGACAGATCGCTCAGGAGGGACTCCCCGAGCCATTTTAGGATCCCCGAGCTATTTTAGGATCAGTAAATGGCATAGACATTAAAAAGGAACCAGCTTAGAAAACAGCATTGGATCAACTCAGCATGTGTGGATTTAAGTTAAACAGAGCAAAAAACCTGGGGGGTGACCGGGGTTTTCCACCCCCGAAGGGTGCGTTTTTCTCCTTCGGGCTCAGGGAGCACTGAATTGCGGGTGAACCGGCTGTGCTGTGCATCAGTGAGGTTTCCTCTTTTGCTCTCTCCCCTCTGACACCCATCCCACTGTTTGCACTTGTTTATAGCTGTCAGGGCCTGAATTCACATTTTCGGTCGCCCCCATGGGCTCCTGCTTGAGCTCAGATCCTCTGACCACGAGCAAGGGAAAATTGGGCTTGTTTTCTTCTAATATGCCTTATTTTAGGGAAGTCTGTGTTGAATTTTACCCACTGCGCTGTTTCTCCATACCCAGCACACGCTCGGTGATTTTCTGCCTCACTGGTCCGTCGTTTCCAGGATCTCCCTTAAAATCCTTTGGAAAAACAGCTTCATATTCACCGGCTCCTTGGCCCCAAGGGAAGCGCGAGGTTACGCATCACCCTTAGCATTCGGCTCTTTCACTGCCGTGCTCCTTCGGGCACCGGGGACCTCGCGTCCCGGTGGTTTGTTACAGCTGCTTTTTCAGGATTTATTGCAGAAGTTTTTCTGGCCGTGCTGTGATTTGAGACCCGTCCCCCGACACGTTGCCTGCAGGGAAGGGTTCGGGCACGTGTCCCTCATGGCTCTCTGCTACCCTCACCTCCTCTTGCTCCCCCTCATCTGCCGTGGGCCATGAGTCCAGTCCTTGGTGGCCTCTGCAAGCTGATCCTCCAGCTCTCCAAGGCTTTTTTGGGCCGTTCTTGTAACCCAATGGAGTTTGAGGTCTTTTCCATCCTCTTTGTTCGGAGCCAGCTTCAAAGCTGGAGGAAAACCCCCAGGTTTGGACACCTCTCCCTCCCCTGGGGCTGTGCCAGCTTCCCCAGCTCTTCCTGAAGTCCTGCTCCTCCAGTGGCAAGCTCCGTGTCTCCAATATGATGTCTTTGATCCCTGTTTGCAAGGATTTTACTTTTAACTTCCTTCTTTTATCTCCCAGCTCCCTCATTTGAATGCACTTCCCTTTCTGAAGTTAAACATAACGGCGGGGGGTCCTGGGGGTTAGGTCCCCAGTACACACGTCTCTTTTCAGCGGGATGGGGCAGAGCGAAGGCTTTGCCTGGGGGTTAGGAGATGGGTGCCGGTGAGCACGCAGGGATGCTTGCCTCCTTGCCTGGCGTGGAGTGGATGAGGCTGAACCGTGCCTTGGGGGAGGCAGGAGCCCCCCGGGGTGCGCGGGGTGAGGCGGGGCACAGCAGACCCCCCACGGCCACCAACTCCCTTCTTTTTGGTTTTTCAGACCCCACTCTTGGACACCGAATCCACCCTGGATTATGGACACAGCCTTACCCAGGTGGGTGGGCTGGGAAAACCCCCAAGGACATGAGTCTGGGGAGGTGGGAGATGGGAAACATGTGCTGAAGGCCGTGAGGGGTGGGGGGCCGGACTCCCCCTGTTGTGGGGTCCTCGGCTCAGCTCTGGGATGCTCGCTCCCTTGGGCTCATCTGTTCCTGGGGGCAGGTGATTGAGATCCCGGGGTGCTGGGGTGGGCGTGCAGGTGTATCGCACCTTGGGCAGGGCGCTGGGGGCACGGTTGACCGTGCAAGGTGTCAGCGCGGTCAGGGTCCGTGCCTCACTGCCCGTGCCCTCCTGCAAGCCCCCTGCTGCCCTTAGGGCTTCCCCTGCAAGCCCTCAAATCCCCTTCCACACCCAGGCATCCTCGGAGAAGATCTGGCGAGCCGGGAAGCTCCTCTTCATCCACCTCACCAGCACCCGTCCTGGCCTCATCCGGGACCACAAGCATCACCTGCGGCACCACAGGTGGGACAGCCGGCACCCCTGCCATGCCGGGGGGCACCATGGGCTGCCGAGGACCCCGGCAGCCCTCTGAGGAGGGCACGACTTCTGCTGCCCATCCCAGGCAAGGGCTCACCTGGGGTGCCGGGCACCGCAGCCCCGTTTCAGGGCCGGTTCTCAGGCCCTCTCCCCTTGCAGGCAGTGCTGCTCCGGGAAGGAGCTGGTGGACTGGCTGGGGGGGGGCGGGTGCGCCGTGCGCCCTGGTGGCCCCAAGCCGTTGGCATCTGCCAGGTGCTGGTGGACGGAGGCGTCCTGACGCATGGTGAGGGCGGGCAGTGGCAGCCCCCTGCACGGCAGCGGGGTCTCGCGAGGCAAGACTGGGTGCACTGGGGGCTGCTGGGATCTCCCATGGGTGCACGTGGCATCCCGTGGGTCTCCCATGGGTGCGTGGCCGAGCTCATGCGCGCTCTCCCCCCACAGTGAAGCAGGAGTGGCATTTCCAGGACAAGGACACCCAGTTTTACCGCTTTGCCGAGCTGGAGCTGAGCCCTGAGCTCAACGCCGGGCTCCGGGATGCCGAGGAGCTGCTGGAGGCGCTGGCCTTCCTGGCCCAGCTGGGTCCCGACGCGCTGCTCACCATGGCCCTGCGCAAGCCGTGAGTGGCCGGGTGCTCCCAGGGGCCGAGGGGGACGTGGGGCTCATTTTGACCCTGCTCTATTGGGGTCTGGAGCGCCAAAGGGGCTGCTGTGGATGGGGCGACCCCAGCATCTCTTCCACGGCTGTCAGAGCGGGGAGAGAAGGAGGCTGCCTGGCCAGGGGGTTGTTCCTGGAGAAGGGTGTCTGTGCCCCGGGACGTGGCGGGGAGAGGGGGCACGGACAGGCGCTCACCCCCCTCTCCCCTCCCAGGCCTGCCCAGCGCACAGAGGACGAGCTGGAGCTCATATTTGAGGAGCTCCTGCACATCAAAGCCGTGGCTCATCTCTCCAACTCGGTGAGTGCGGCTGTGCCCTGCTTCCCCTGCAGCGTGTGTGTCCCCCCCAAACTGCTCCTGGTCCCCAAATCCTCCTGCATCCCATCACTTCCCATCTGGGCATCCTCTCCTGGTATCTCTGAGCATCCCTGGGCCCCCTTCCCACCCTGTCCCACCCACCCGTGTGTGTCCCCTCCTCGCTCAGCTCCGGGCCAGGGTGACCCTGATGGCAGGTGCCTCTTGCCGCAGGTGAAGCGGGAGCTGGCATCCGTGCTGATGTTCGAGTCGCACCAGAGAGCAGGCACCGTGCGTGAGTATCGTGTGCCCCAGGAGCCGTGCAGGGCTGGCCAGTCCCCAGCCCAGGGATGATGGCTGGAGCCATTGTCATCAATGTGGATGCTCCTGCTGTGTCTTCGTGGATGAAGGACGGAGGGGACCAGAACAGTCGCTGCGTTGGCTTGGGCTGGGGGCTCGGATGGGGCGGTGGAGGAGGGATGCTCAGGGGTCCCCCCCTTCGACTGCTGGATGCCGCTGTTTCCCCTGCAGTGTTCAGCCAAGGAGATAAAGGCACGTCGTGGTACATCATCTGGAAGGGCTCGGTGAACGTGGTCACCCACGGCAAGGTAGGTGTGACCCCGTGGCAGCAGGTCTCTCCAGACACCCCACATCACTGGCCCCCAGCAGGGACAAGGGCTCCCACCCCGTCCCTCACCCTCTGTGCCCCCCACCCAGGGCTTGGTGGCCACCCTGCACGAGGGGGACGACTTTGGGCAGCTGGCGCTGGTGAACGACGCGCCCCGCGCGGCCACCATCATCCTGCGGGAGGACAACTGCCACTTCCTCCGCGTGGACAAGCAGGACTTCAACCGCATCCTCAAGGTGGGCAGGGGGCTCGCGGGGTGCTGCGTCCGAGCTGGGACGCACCGTGCACCCTCCACGGTGTTTGCAGGGGAGGACACTTCTCTGCACGCCAATACGGGGTTTTGGGGTGCAAGCAGGCATTGCCTGATGGAGCTGAGCTGGGCTGACGGCTGGTTTCTCTCCCTAGGATGTGGAGGCCAACACCATGCGCCTGAAGGAGCATGGGAAGGTGGTGCTCGTCCTGCAGAAGAACCTGCAGGGTGGCAGCAACCAGCCAGCCGCAGCGCGGAGCAGCAGGTGACAGCAAACTGTCCTTGCCCCTCCTTACAGCCATGCCGGCAGCGCTGCCAGCTGATGCTGCCTGTCCCTCTGCCTCCTCTGCCGCTCTCTGGCTTCTCTCTGGGGAGTTTGCCCGGGGGACCGAGTCCCCAGGGGGGGAACAGGGATGCCAGGCCATGCTGACCAGCTGTGTTGAGTGGCCCGGTGGCCCGGCGTGGTGGCCCTGGCCACAGCTGGGGTGCCGCGTCCTCCCCTGATGTGCCCGGTGCGCTGCCCACCAGGTACTTGGTGATGGCCGGGACGCCGGAGAAGATCCTCGAGCATCTGCTGGAGTTCATGAGGCTCGACGCCACGCTCTACGACCCCGTGGGTAGGTGGGGGTCACCCCCTTGGTCTGGGGACCCCATCCCAGAGCCACCCTGAGATGGGCAGGGGGCTGGGGACATGGGTGCCACCTTCTTCCCAGTGTTCAACCCCAAAAGCTGCTCCTCTCACCGTAAAATCCCCCATGGAGGCCAGGAGAGGGAGGCAGCTCCAGGGCCGGGAGCATCTCCTCCCTCCTGTCCCACATCCCTCTACCTCCCTCTGCCTTCCGAGAGGAGCAGAGCTGGGCGAGCTGGGAACCAGGAGATGTCCCCAGCGGGTAAAAAATCCGAGCTGCCGAGCTGGCGTCACCAGCGGCTGCCTTGGAGTTAACTCTGCCGAGCACTGCACTTTTACTGCAACTCATTTTCTTTCATCCCCCAAAGCCTGCAACCTTGCCAGCCCTTTCCCTGGTGTTTAGGAGCAAAAAGTGACCCACAATGAGCACGGTCACCCTGGGGGGAGCGCACAGGCCAACCCCAGGCGGGGCGTGGGTGACCCTTTCCCGGCCAGCTGCACCGCCTGGCTGTGATCACGGTGTCCCCAACCCACTGGACACCGTGCAGAGTGAATGATGGTGGCCTGGTCTCTTCCAGATACGCTGCTGGGGGATCTCC